ATTAATCAACCTCTCATAATTACAAAAAAATGAACAAAATGAAAAATTATGATTGGTTGAATGCGGTTTGCACGGTTTGTACAAATTGAGTGGTTTGCATTTGATCGCTCCCCTATATATATATATATATATATATATATTCTTATGCATAAAATACACATACTCCCATATTAAATTTACGTAAGCATGGGTTCACATAAATAGTTAATTCACATAACAAATACCTTAGGTAATAATCGTACCCGGTTATCACAGTTTATAATATCAACTTTATTTTATTTGGAGCATTTTCTAAAATATTTGGCATTACACAAGTTAACTTTATCAATTGTCTGTTGAGGCGTGATCTTCTGAACTAAAACTTGGGAATTAAGCCAGATGATTTCTAATCACCATGACTAGATCCTAGTAAAATATAAATCTAAATATAGGATTTCTAATAAAGTGCTAACCTGAAGCTCATAAATGACAGAATGTCACAGTCTCCCCATGCCAGAAAAATTTCGTTCCGAAATTTATTCGTCAAATCCAGATCATGACTTGCTTGAGAACAAGTGGGGATACTTGCTTTTCATAAAATCTTCTCTTTCCCTTGTGTACTCCAGTCCATGCCTCGAAGTCCAATGAACTTTTAGAATCGGAATCTTACTATGCCTCAGTTGTTTGACTTTATGGTCGAGGATTTCGATCGGCTCTTCAACGAAGCGTAACCGTTCATTAATTTGAATGTCTTCCAAAGGTAGAACCAATGATTCGTCGACTAAACATTTCTTAAGGTTTGATACGTGAAATGTATCATGGATGACACTAAGCTCTGTGGGCAAGTTTAGTTTGTATGCCACCGGTCCTACTCTTTCGAGTATCTCAAATGGACCAACATACCTTGGGCTAAGTTTTCCTTTCTTTTCGAAGCGCACAATTCCTTTCCATGGAGATACTTTTAAAAGGACTTTATCACCAACTTGAAATTCCAATGGTTTCCTTCGGTTATCAGCGTAGCTCTTCTGACGATCTCTTGCAGCTTTAAGTCTTTCTTGGATGATCGAGATTTTGTCGGTTGTCTCCTGGATAATGTCAGGCCTAGTAAGCTGTCTGACACCAATTTCCAACCAGCTGAGTGGGGATCTACATTTATGCCCATACAAGGCTTCGTACGGTGCACACTGGATACTGGTGTGATAGCCATTGTTGTAGGAAAATTCAACCAATGGTAGATGAGTATCCCAACTGCCTCCAAAGTCTATCACACAGGCTCGTAACATATCCTCTAATATTTGGATAGTCCTTTCCGTTTGCCCATCCGTTTGAGGATGATAGGAAGTGCTTAAGTCCAACCTCGTGCCTAGTGCCTTTTGAACTGATTGCCATAATCGTGAAGTAAAACGGCTATCTCTGTCTGAGATGATAGAAATAGGTACTCTATGACGCGATACGATTTCATTGATATATAACCGTGCAAGCCTTTCCATACTGAAGTCTTCTCGAATAGGTAAAAAGTGCGCGGATTTCGTAAGTCGATCCACTATGACCCAAATTGAGTCATATCCTCTCCTAGTTCTAGGTAACTTTGTAACAAAATCCATTGATATCTGATCCCACTTCCATTGGGGAATCTCTGTTGCTGAAGAAGACCAGACGGTTTCTGAAGTTCAGCTTTTACACTTGCGTAGGTCAAGCACCGACTTACGTACAAAGCAACGTCCTTCTTCATTACTGGCCACCAGTAATATTCTCTTCGCTCTTTGTACATCTTAACGGTTCCTGGGTGAATTGAGTATCTTGAGCGATGTGCTTCCTCCAAAATTGTTGACCGAAGGCTGTCGTCCTTTGGTATCCAAACTCTAACTCTAAAGTAACGCACCACATCTGCTCGAGTTTTGAATTCCTTCTCTAGGTGGTGCAGGGTCTCGTTCTTCAGATTCTTCGATTTCAACGCCTCTTCTTGAGCTTCAAGAATTTGCGTTTTTAGGTTCATTTGAACCAGCATCCTCATGGCTCGTACCCTTGACGGTTTCACCCTTTCTTCCCGCTTGGATGGATGGATGGACGGATGGATGGATGGACGGATGGATGGATGGACGGATGGATGGATGGATGGATGGATGGATGGATGACAAACAGACACATAGACAGATTGATAGACAGATTGATAGATACAAGCCTTTAAAAGAAGTCATGTCATACATAGTGGTTTCTCCTTTCACCGTAATAATATTCTGCTATGAAGTAGTCCTGGTTGAACTTGGGTGTGTATGAATGTTTTCAAGAACATAATCAATTGTTTATTGATAACAATTATGCCAAAACTAAATGGAGGGAAAGATATTGAGTAATGGAGAGATGAAGAGTTGGAGAAAGTAAATCAATTGCAACAAATAATAAGGGGAATGTCTATCAGAAAGTTGAATAGTTGGGAGGTTAAATTTAAGTTGGATGCAAAATAACCAAAAAATCTCATTTATTATGAAACATACAATTTGTCCATAAGGACATAAAAGTCTTTAGCTTAATTAGTATTTTAGAAACTAAAAAAAAAAAAGAAAAAAGATAAAAGAACACCTAGCTTTTAAAAGAAACTCTGTTATACATAGTGATTTCTCCTTTAATATATACTACTTGTGTACCCGTGCAATGCGGCGGGAGCCGTGAATTTTAACGATTTTGAAGTTTCACTAGTTTTATTATAGAAGATTTAACGATGATATAAATTACATTTAGTCTTTACATATTAATACAATTTGAATAAATAAGAGTTATGATTCCAATTACAGTCTATCGATGAAAAAAATTGTATGACAGTTTAAAATCCAATATATTTAAAATCCAACATATTTAAACGATTCCACAAATGTGTTCGATTTACACCAAGAACAAAGAATCAAAAGATCGAGAGCGAGACTGAAAGTTATAGAGCAATTGAATGTAAGATGAATGATATAACTTTTAATAACTCATGGTGAATTTAATTTTGAATCTCACATTAGAGGATGGGAAGAACACATAAAGGTATGAGAGGGTAAATGCATGAGTAAAATGTATTAAAAGTATCTTGGGAACATAAAAAGAAAAGATAATAATATGTATTGGTAACTTGTATTATATGTTATTTTAATCTTAGATTAAAATATTTTAAGACTGAATATATAAAGTAGTAGTACTTAATGCATTGTAAATTATTTTAAGACTTTGTATATTAAAAATTGTTTGTTAAGATTTTTGATAAATTTGATTTATAAGGTAGTATAGATATCGATGAATATTATATTTTTCTATATATTTAAATTCAATAGACACGGGAAAGAAACTTATTTATCTGTTGGATTTTTAATAAAAATACAATCAAAAATCACTTTGATCAAAGGTTACAAAGACCATAGGTTGTATTTGACTGGTTTTGGAAGTCCGATCACGACGTATATTCTGTAATGTTCAAGTAGCACCAAAATTCTTTGGCCTTGCACTTGGTGAATTTTCTCAACTCGTCAAAACGATCGATCCATTTCTAAAACCCTATCTCCTTCTGGGTTTAGTCATACTGAGTGAAGGGAACTCGTTTCATACACAAAATCATTTCGAAACCTGCTTAGTTGGGTTTGTTCCTGAATTGGTTGGATTGGTATGAATCATCGTTTACTGAGATTGAATCAGAAGTCAAAAACAAAGAAACATGGGGCATAGTGCGAAGAAGAAGAAGCGTGGTGGGACAGGGAGGCGCAGGGCGCCGTCCAGTGATCACACTTCTATCCACGGCGTTGGCGGCGAACTTCTGTCGGAGGAGCTTACCGCACTGTGAGTAATTTCGTTGTGACATGATTATAATAATGCTGTTTGTATAACTGTCTTCGTTGGCCGGTTTCCTGCCATTTTATACGCCAAAGTGCCGTCGAGAAGGATGAAAAAATCAGAAATAAAATTGAATTCAAGAAATAATAACAATTCATATAAAATTGTTTTTTGAGCATTCCTATACTAAAGGTCAATCGATAATAGTTTCTAAATGAATATTATCTGCCGTATCTTTTTCAATACATAGCATCGTCAATCTTTTTCCACCATCAAAGACATTCTACAAAAGATATACCTTATGTTAATGTTTTTAATTGCGGTTTCTTTTTGAGAACCATCAATTTCATAATCAAAAGCCCCTAACGGTTATACTTTGAGATCTTATTCTTGTTTTATATGGATGTGTTCATTACAATTTTGTGGAACATGATAGGTAAAGAATGAACATATTTAACAGGTTTAATTTATTGGTCTATCACAAAACCATGAAACACGTCATAACTCACAAGAATAAAGATGAATCGTGAAACAACATATAACAGTAACTGTGAAACGTTAGTACTACAATGCCAACTATAAAAGCAGAAGTAGATATCAATAGCCAAGCAGTTATGCAAACTACATAATTTAATAGCAACAGCCAATAGAAGAATAAACAGTCAAGCAGACAACAAAAGCAAATAGAAAAAGCCAATAATAGCAGAAGTAGATAACAATTGCCAACAAAAGCATATAGTAATAGCAATAACAGACTCATGAGTTTCAAGGTTAAATTTTAAGGTCGTTACTCGCTGAATTGTGGAAGCATGAAAACCATCAAGCAGTTAAGCAAATAGAGATAGCAATAGCTGGTAGTCTTTGGACCTTAGCGCTATTTGAGGTGATGATCAACTTATAGGTAAATTTGAACAAATGTAGCCATTCATTTTGGTCAATCAATGATTTCATTTCGTGACGTCCATTTATATGCTGTTAGAATAAGGGGAGATGTGATTACTGGTCTATTTACTTATACAAGGAGAAATGAAGGTGGGACCCACAAAACGGAGGATGAAGAATCGAGGGAAATGGTATAAATTAATGGAGGTTGTTTATGTTAATTAGACGGGACCCAAATCATGTACCTATCATTACAACTCTCTATATGCCAACTACCCATGTGGGTTTCGTTTCAATTTTTATTTTTTAAGCATATGTGGGAAGTTCTTTTAAAGATAAGTGCATATACATGTATTAAGTAATGCAAGAAGAAAATGAGGAGCATGATTCTGTAGTCAAAGCAACTTAAATCCCTCCATTCTGCTAGTAGAAGTTTTCTGCTCTCATTTTGGACAAATTCAAATGTTAAAAATACTCGAGCATAACTAAACAAGCCTTTGACGTCATTGATCTACAGAATTCTGGATTGAGAGGTTCTAAGGTAAGAGACAATATGGGTAGGGAGAAGAATCTAATGGGTTCACGGTTGGGCTAGAAGTGATTTGAAACAACTTTGCTACTTATTCTCGAACAAGACAAAAGCTTATTTTGCTCTTCTGTTTTGTAATGGAGGGAGTATTAGTCTTATTGTTGTCTAAATAGATTATCTTGCTTTTTTAGGTCTGCTATATTTCAAGAAGATTGTGATGTTCTTTCAGAGTCTCCACCCCGAATCAAGATCAAGCTGAGGTTTGTTAATTATAACAACTAGCAAATCCACTCCCTAGCCTTCATGGTCTTTCATATTTTTGAGTTGTCACCAAATGAATTTACAGGCCGTACTCACAGGATTCAGGTTTCGAGGATTTAGATGTGTCTGCTCTGCTTTCAATAAGGTTAATGAGTTTATCCTCATTATATTGTTCTCTTGTGATGACAAATACCTGCACTAAACCCTGTTTTTGTTGTTTATGATTGCTCATGGTTATTAGGTTCTTACCTGGATATCCTTACAAGTGTCCGAAACTGCTAATAATTCCAGAAAAAGGTTTATCAAAATCTGACGCGGATAATCTTTTGTCCCTGCTTCATGACCAAGTAAGGTTTACTGTCTATGTCAAATAGTGTAAAAATTTCTAGTAACCTTACACAAATTTGTTATTTGATGACTTTTTCTTTCATCCTTCTAGTTCTGTAAGTTTTGATGTTTCAACTTTTGTGCACAAGACAGATGAAAAACTAAGTCACTTCTCTTTGTCTCCCTAGTTATTTCATCATTGGTTAGTAACAAGTCAACTTGACTGCCTTTGCAGGCCAACTTAAATGCTCGAGAAGGACGCGTGATGATTTATAACTTGGTAGAGGCTGCACAAGAGTTCTTGTCTGAAGTCGTCCCTTTGGAGCAACGACATGTACGTGCGATTATCATTCATTTTTCGTATATATTTGTGGATTGCCTCTTGCAGCAAACCTACACAAAAGTATTGAAGTCTGTGTTGATGAAACTAATTTTAGCACTAGAAAAGACATCAAGGGCTTAAATATCATTGTGTGGCTAATATGTATGATCAACTTTTGGTTGATTGGAGGTTGTACAGGAATCAGGCAAACCAACCAATCCTCATCTCTATTATAAACCTGCTATTTCAGCAAAAAACCGCTATCTGGACGAACTCCAGACCAGCACAACAAATGAGATTCATGACAAGTGCCCTCTACTTTCTCACGAATGTCAGCCTCAATATGTTCTGCGCCTTTCGTGAGAGGTGCATAGCACCCTGATTATTAACTCGCATGCGGTTTGAGCCATAGCGCAATCTTCTGCCTGATATCTCTACTCTATTATAGAGCATTTAGGTTTTGTTCTTAAGAACTTTTAATTTTTCAAGGGTACAAGTTATACAAACATGAAGCATAAAGTTTTAATGCATTTAAAATCTTTCAGTTTCTAAGATATATCTATTTTGCCCTTCTTTAAATGGTAAGAATAGAGTTCTGGAACATCTACTACCCTTTCCAAATATAAGATCAATCAACCAAATAAACAACAAAATATTGAGATTTTTGGAATCTTCATCAAACAACTGATCCATTTCTAAAAAACAAATGATTATACAAAATAAATTTAAAGCAATTCAAATTTTGGTTTACAATTTAAACTTTACATTATGCTGCAGCGCACAGGTACACTTCTAGTTTTTTTATAAAAGCAGTCGAATCATCTGCTTGTCATTTAGTTGATAGATGTACATTGTGCTTCCTGGTTGTCTATTTTAAAATTAGCATAATGTTGATTATTATTTTCTCACTGTTATTTTGAAAGGTTCCATGTGCGACTATGGACAGGAACAGCCAGTTATCTCGAAAGAATGCTGCAGTTTCATGTGATAGGCCTTCCAAGGGACCTTTTGTATATGGTTTCACAGATCTTTTCATAGGCTCCGGGGAGTCGTGGCCCTGGGGACTTTCGGTTGAAAAGAGCAGCAATACATGCACTTCATTGCAGTTACATGCCTTAGACGATCTGCAAAATGAGAAAGTCAACCCAAACAATAAGATGGGGGTGGCTGAGAATGGTAAGCTGGATAAAGTGCTTAGTCCTACGGCAAAACTCGACACTCTAGAAGAAGAGAGTAGGAGTACTGAGTCTTATACATCACTATCTGTATCTGAAGAATCAGAGGAGAATGTTAGCATCGGTGAGGTAAGATAAGATGAGTGCTCTTTTGTTGGCGTAACTTTTTATTCTTCTATCGTTAAAACGATGAGTATGCTTTATCATGCTGCCTTTTCTCTTATTTCCCCCCTTCTGGAAAAAGGAAAGATTATATTTGAAGTGTGTCACATTAGAAGAGTTCTATTACCAAAGCCTATAAGCTATGCTGTTAATAGCAGTTCATGGTCCTGGAAGGAATTGCGGTCCTAAATGGCGGTACCGAGAATTGCGGTGCGATTTTTTTACACAAAATAGCGGTCTGCATAACCGCTAGTTGTGGTTGGGCTTTTTTTTGTCTAACCAACTTATATTGGACCTATTTAAATGATTTGGGGTTTTATTTTGGACTTGGACTTGTTTTCTTAATGATTTAGATAACTTAATTCATCTATTTATCTCTACCAGCCTACGATTATAAGATTTAGGTTTTCAACATCATCGATTATTCAACCACGTTTCCTAAATCCTTCCACCATCATTCTAAGTCTATTAGTGAATTTCTTTATTTGGGACTAATAGTCTATTAGTGAATTTCTTTTTTATATTGATTACACATAATCCATTTAAGTTATCTATGTTTTATGTTTTATGATATATATATATATATTATGTATATATTTCTAAATATTTATATGAATCGCTATTTTTGGACCGCTATACCACCACAATAACCGCTATTTCAAATCACAGTACTGACCGTGATTTGGTATTTTGACTGCTGTAACAACATAGCCTATAAGTGACATTGGACATGATATTACTGTTTTATTATTTGCATTCATGACTATTTACTTTTGAAAGGAAGACTTTCTTGCTGGAACACATATTAGAAATAGTTATGCAATTATCGAACCATCATCAAACCACCATCATGGCATCACCTCTGAAATTATTGGTTATCAACTGGGTAATCGAGATGAATCTTTAGGTATCCCATCTGATTATCATTTGACAAAATAATTGATTAGAGCTAGCAAGAAGTCTGGATACTGCCTCCTGTTTGGATGGTCTGATGCCTCCTCGTGAATCTTCTATTCTTTTCTTAGAAAGGAGTTCTCTATGTGAAATTATGGCTGATTCCGGAAGCTGCTTCTTACAAAGAGCCTATCCAAGAATGCTATTGCTAAAAGCATTCTTGAAATCCAACCAGAGTAACAAAATATAAGGTCTAGATTGGCTCATAAGAGCTGCAATAGGCTCGATAATTATGGTGCTGATCAGGTCTGGCAGTGCAACGTCAGTCATGAATTGGATGTGCTTTGTTGGGCATAGACTATAGGGACTTCCTTAGGCGGGACAGGTTTATCAAGTCAAGGTCTTATGGGTACCTTCACACTTTCTCCCTTCTATCGCATGGTTCCAAGTAAAAATAAGAAACAGAGTGCGAGTACAGAGTTACTGGACGCTTCATGCTGACAGCGGATTTCCATGGCAATAGAAACAGATTGTGAAATACTATGCAGGACACTGGAGGCTAGAACCAACCACAAATGAAACAGACTGTGTTACTATGTGGAGGGATACTGCAGTTCTTACATTCATTGATGTCAACAAAAATAAATCGCAAGGGGACTAGAACTGAAGTGAGCTGGACGATTGAACCAGATGGTATCAGATTCAGGTTGCTTTTAACATTAGATTTGTTTATTGGTGGGCATTTCTTAGAATGAAGTAGGACAATTTTTAGGTTTATCTCTTCTCCCAAAAGTTTGAACATAGTCTGAGAGCTTAGGTTTCAGGAGAGATCTTTACAGTTACTTGGCGGCAAAGTTGTTAAAGGCTTAAGGCGCACTTAGGCGCAAAAGGATCCCAGGGCCTAGGCTCGAGGTGCAGGCGTGAGGCGCGGGCCTCAGGAATGCGAGGCGCATCTTATCAATAGATATATATACATATATACACACACATACACATATAGAGAGAGAGAGTGAGAGAGAGAGACACTCACACACACTCACACACAGAGTTACACACAAGTCTCCAATTCGGCAACCAATAGTACTTCGATAGGGGCAGAAGGGTTTAACGCGTGAGCCGTGAAGAAGAAGTTTTAAGGTCTGGGTATTTATAGAGAAGGAGGCTTAAAGTTCTAAGGACTTGGTATTTAATATCAAAGTTTGACTTATGTCATCTATTTGATAGCACTTCTGTAAGAAAGCTAGGAGATGAGAAGATGAGAGAACTTATTTAATCTTTGGGTTTAACTAGGTATTTAGTAAATCTTTATGAGGCGCACCTAGGCCCACAAGGCGCCTCAGCTAAGGTGCAGTGCATTAGTGAGCCTCGTGAATATGCTGAGCCTTGGCTTGAAAAAAGCCCAAGACCTTGAGCGTTATGAGCCTCAGAGTCTAGGCCCGCCTCAGATGCGCTTTTAACAACTATGCTTGGCGGTACTTGGCATCTGTTCGATCTGTTGTTTTCTCTTTGTTGTCTCCCCCACTCTGTTCATAAAGAGTTTTAGCACTTTATCTTCTTTTCACTTCAAATTTGTGTTTTTATTATATTGTTTTGTATTTGAATATGTTTGGGTTGTTTGTCTGCTTTAGACTTTTATCATGGGTAGATTGTTATTCTTGAATAATAGTTTTCTTTGTAATGATTATTACATCACTAATACAAGATTGCACAGGATTATCCTCTGAAAGAGGATACAGAAGAAACTGATGTTGGTGAGACTAAAGATGATCATTCAGAATCGGGTTCACCTGCGTCAATGAATCATCATCAGATTTCACATACTGTGGAGAGAGATTTGATTCTGGCATTAACTCACTTTTTTTCTCATTAATGTACTATTTAAAATGTATCTAAGAGCTAATACTTACTTCAACACTTTCAGGCTCATTTGCTGCGACTTGCTTGTGCTCCTAAAGGTCCACTTGCTGATGCCTTAACTGATGTAACATCAGAGTTGGTAAACCTTGGGGTATGTTGCTGAGACTTAAATATTTAACATAGAAACTTGTCTCTTCTGGTTTCATCATATTGACGCATTTCTCATTGGAAGAAGTAAATGGTGTATTTAGATTGTTTCAGACCGGGTGGCGGATTTAGCAACGGAGCCACCATCAGTTTTTGACAGAAGCTTCAATCAGGTCTTTAGACATCGTATGGTTAGTGCTTTGTGGTTTTCTGTTAATATTTTCACACTAGTTTCTGTTGCTATGTAATGAAAAGGAATGCACTTCTCCTATTCCACCAAATAGGTAGCCTCAAAGATATCACATTTTTGGAGAACTGCTTCTGATTCCAAAGGGCAGCACACATCACCTACATTAAGCTCTCGGTATCTGAATGATTTTGAGGAGCTTCAACCACTTGGTGAGTGATCAATTGTATCTCAACTATTGAATTACTTTTTTCCCTTTTCACTTGAATTAAGTTTTGTATTTGTGTTGTATTCACAAAAATATATGCGGTCTTTAATTGATGCAAGCTTTTGTTTCTGTAAGATAAAATTCAGGGTCTGTTTGATTTAGTAGTGTACCAATGACAATATTGCCACTCAACTTGGCTTTTCTCTTTGAAGGGACATATCCTATTAATTGTAACATATTGCTCCCCCCATTCTCTGTTAAATGGTCTGCTTTGCCAAGGGACACTTGCTACCAAAATGAAGTTGGCGACTAAAAAGTGAAAATCATCATTTGTTACTTGTAGTAATTGGATATTATGGTTGCTGTTCTTTGTGACTGGGCCAATCAACCCACATGTGCTTCATATTCTTGTTTTCAATGATACATACTCATTCCTGCTTCCGCTTTCTGCCTATATCCCAGGGCATCCTTTGGGATCAATATTTACCCAAACATTACTACACTCAGGATGATTTCCACCCAGCTTGGTTGTGCTGTGAGATATATAGCTCAACAAAAGAGATGGGCAAGTGCACACAAATCTTAAGCTATCTTTAACAAGTAATAAAGTGGTAAGAATTTACCCAGTACCGAATCCACAGAGAAAAGTTGTGCTTTCTTTGTGGAATGCTAACCCTTAACCAACTCAGATGATTGGTCTGATTATGGTTTTGAGATAAGATTGGACGACTGAAAATAAAACAAGGTGTGGGTGTAAGCATTACTGGGGTGCCAACATTTTTTAAAGAGGTTACAAGATGAGGTCACATTGAAATGCTACCACACTTCATAAGATGCTGCTACACTTGCAACAACTTCAACCCTGCCGGCTAAACTTAATGAAAACTCTTCCAAGCCTTAGATGCGTAGTCATTGTAGTTATACAACCCATATTCGTATGTAAGTGCTAACTGAGGTGCTTCAAGTGTTGGTTTGTGGTGTTGTGCAAAGAACCTGTATTCCTATGTGATCACAGAAGTCCTTCTGAACTCCCATTGTTTTGTTCAAGCTGCTGCTGCTGCTGCTGCTGCTGCTTGTGCTAACCCCATTTCTGGACTTTAACTCGACTACAAATACAAAACAACATTAACTTTTCTGTATTTGGCTATTTCTTGATTGCCTCTTGAACAAAGTTTCTAGATGCTGCAGCAACAGTAACAACAATTACTTGCTGTTTGCTGTACCTCAGTGTTTGTTTGCTTTTACACCTTCTAAACCACGATGCAAGGAAATAAAACGTGCTGAAGAAAAACATATGACTTGATAAAAAGAAGCTTACACAAAGAAAAAATTAAATATCTAAGCATTAAAGATGAAGAGGCCAAATGCATTGGCTTTAAACTACAGATAAAAGGGACCAAGTGTTTAAGATCCCAACTACTTTGTCTAATGCTCTGTAATTGCATCAACCCTCCTTACAGGTCCTAACTAGTGATCAAATGCTCTCTCACAGCATCAATGGTGCCATCATCTGGCTCTTCACTTTATTATAGGCGAAGCTTTCTCTTCAATGGCATGGCTTGGGTGTCTCATTGACACAGGCAGCAGGGAGAGAAGGCATGGCAGCTGTCAGATCTTTCTAGCATTTCATCGTTAATGGCAGAGATTTTTCCATCTCTTCTCTCCATTGTTTATTATTTTTTTTTTCTGGAACAAGTAGCAAGTATGGCCAGGATTTGAGCTGACAAATCTTCTTTTCCAACTACCATATCTTCTCCTCTTCTTTTACCTCCAGATCTTTCTCTTTTTTGTCTTCTTTCTTTCTTTACCAGTCTCTCCCAACAGTCCTCCAAGTCATTTCCAACTGTCTCTTACACAACTTCCACCAATCTTTATCTTCCATCTTTACAGTGTACGCGACCCTCTTCCAGAGTTCAGTTCACATATAAGTGCTGCAGCACTTAAAAATATGCCTCAAACAGACTCACTTTCTAACTCAGCTCCAAAATACAGAATAAAAGCAAACTAAGGCTGAAAGACTCTAAATTAAGATAAACCATCAATATATCAAAACCATGAGGGGCAGAAATGCTATGCAAATAACTCTCTTTTCAAGAGTTATCAGGTTGTCATTATGCATGCATCTCATCAAACTATTGTCTCACATTAACTGTTTCCCGGCAACAGTTAGTGGGATTCCAGGCCAATGTTTTTGTTGCCTGATAGCATGCTTACCTCTGGATGAATAACATGTTATTTATCTGTGTGAGCCATGGTTCACTGTACACCTATACCGTAACAAAATCAGAACCATGCTGGTTTGTTTAAATGCGTTTTTGTAATATACCTATTACTTACAGTTTTATGAATCAAACACCATGTAGAAGTAATACTTCATTCTGATGTCTTCTGTTATGATGTGTCAGGCCATGGTGGATTTGGCCATGTTGTTTTATGTAAGAATAAGCTGGACGGAAGACAGTATGCTGTTAAGAAAATTCGACTAAAGGACAAAAATCCACCTTTAGATGACAGAATTTTGAGGTATCCTATCTGATTATCATTTGACAAAATAATTGAACTACCCAAATCCCTTTAAAATGTATATCATGTTTAATTTTAGTAATCAACATGGTTCCCAACTTCTCACATGTGAATTGGAATCCATTACGAGTGTAACGGTCTCATTCCATGAATAGTTAGAAAATTTGATCATATCGAAGGTAATTTATACTTATAGAACTCTGACAAGTGTTAGAAGTACCCTCTTCGTTCAATGGAAGTTGGAACTTTTGTTTCTACATGCAGTTTACTTAATGTGTTCGACTATTATTCAAAGTGTATTTCCAATTTAGATTTTTTATTTTCGAAATTTGGAATTATATTTGTAGCCCATAAGTGTTGGACTCAAACAGTTGCATACCTTTCTTCACATATATGGTTGCATGCATGACTTGCTTTCATTTGAATTTAGATTAATACCTATGCTGTTAATATCGCGATATATCGTCGATATATCGGATATCGGACCTAGGCAAAATATTGCTGCATAAATATCGGTCAAAATATCGTCCCCGATATTATCGGCGATATTTTCCGATTTTTCCCGATATTTAGCGATATTTTGATGTATATATCGGACCGATATAT